CGGCTCCTGCCGGGCCGGTGGAGCGCGCCCCAGCGTGAATGGGATGCTGCCGCGGCTGCGTGGGCAGCGGGCATGGGGGGTGGCGGGGTCTGGGCAGGAAGAGGGAGAGTGGGGGGACGCCAGAGCGGGGTGCTGTGGGTGCAGAGCGCGTGGCGCTGAGCAGGGCTGCGGTGGAGCGGGAGGACGCAGAATGTAAATGAGCGCGGCTGCTCGCCGGCGGAGGAAGGGTGCGGGATCCACGCGCGGGAGCGCGGCCATGGGTGGGGGCCACAGTGCAGGAGCAGCCTGGGGCGCCATGGGGTCACCTCCCCGGTACGTACGAGCCCCCGTGGAGGCGGGAGAGGCCGGAGGGAGATGGAGGAGGCCTGGGAGGGAGCGGAGGGGGGAGGGGAGGTCACAGAGGGGCCCCTAGGGCCGCCTGGGGGTGGGAGGGGTGGGGGTTGGGGGGAGGGCTCCCGGAACAGGGGAGACCTGGCAAGGTCATGGGAGTGGGGCTGCGAGGTCTGCGGGATGAAGGAGAGGTGAGGGGGACGCAGAGTCGTGGCCCAGGTGCTGGGACACTCGGGGTGCATTGATTATTGGGGGTGTCGCTCTCGGAGGGAACTCAGATTGGGACTGACATGGTCTTGTCTGGCTGGTGTGATCTGGAGCGAGTTCCTTCTCGGTGCCTCAGTTTCTACCCCTAGAAAGCGGGCAGCAAGGGCTGGTGTAGCCTCTCCAGGGGCTGGTGGGAATATGTAAATACAACAGGGACTAAGTGAATATGCAGATGCACATGCAAATTGGAGGGGAAGAGCTTGGCCCTCAGTGGGTCACCTGTGGTATGGGGTTGGCTTCAACCTGGACGGGCTCCAGGTGCTGGAGGGGTGGCTGGGGGTTGAATCTGGAGTGTCTGAGTAGGGGGAAAAGGCATGCGGGTGCTGTGGAATGGAGGACATGGTTTTCTGGGGGTACTGCTGAAGTCACTGTCTCTGTGCCTCTGTTTCCTTCTGTCTCAAGCCCATTGTCAGGAGGGAGCTGAGGGTCTTGCCAGGGGAGAGCTCCCCTCAGCGTGGGGGGGGGGCTCTGTTTCAGGATAGGGTATGAAGATGGTGTGGGGCTGAAAGACAGGTTATGGGGAATAGAAGGAAAGATGGGGGGAGCCGGGGTCTGGGGCCTGCATGGAAGAAAAGAAGTGATGTATGAAGGAGAGCTGAAGGGCACCGGTGGCTGTTGGAGGGGGGCCTTAAGAGACCTGGGGTGGTGGGCATAGCAAGGACACGGAGGACGTGGAGGACGTGGAGGAGGCCTTGGTCAGGGTCAGGGATGGGCGAGTGTGTCACGGAAAGCCTGGTCAGGACCAAGCAGCTGTGACCCCTTGAACCAACTCCATTAGCTGTGTCCACTTGCCTCCTCTTGGCCCCTCCTCAGAGCCTCCCTCCCTCCCTCCCTCAGCACTCTGTCCTTTCCACACCTGCCCCATCCCTCCTCAAAGGTGGCCTGACCCTTGGGGCACAGCTAAGGTCAGGCAGAGGAGGACATGGTGGTGGGGTGAAGTGCGGGTGTGTTTATTGGACCAGGATTTTATTTTCCCCCTTGGGCCAGTACTGGGGCTTGAACTCAGGATGTGGGCACCATCCCTGAGCTTTTTTTGCTCAAGTCTGGTGCCCTACCACTTGGGCTACAGCTCCACTTCCAGCTTTTTGGTGGTTAACTGAAGACCTGTCAGGGTTGGCATGGAACCGTGCTCCTCAGATCTCTGCCTCCTGAGTAGCTGGGATTACAGGTGTGAGCCATCATACTGGGCTCTCAGGATGGAATGTGAGTGAGGCTAGCCTGCCAGGGCTGAGTGGCTAGAGTGTGTCTGAGTGCATGTGCTGTGGGGCGCACCAGGCACCGGCCGCTGGGGCACAGGCAGCACACCGTGGCATTGGCACACAGCTGGGGCATTGCAGGGAGTCAGAGCCACACTCAGGGGTGCTTGCATGGGGCTGTTATGTTTCCTTGCTAGATGTGTGCAAGGGGTGTGTTTGGGGAATAGACCGGGATTGAAGGAGGGGGAGTTATATTATTGGAGCGTGTGGGGGTTTGTGCAAGACCCGGGAGTATGTGTGGAGGATGGCTTTGCTGACTCTGGTGCAAGTAATTGAGGAGCCTGCTTGGCTATTATTGGAGCATGTTAGGGCCCCTAGAGGGGGTTTACTGAGGGGGCCTGGGCATTGTTAGCACACCCCAGGCATTGCTCTGGCTGAAAGTGCTCTCTTTCCTTGGGCCTCAGAGGAGCTCAGAGGCAGGGCTGGGCATGCGTTCTGATGGCTCTGGAGGGTTCTAGGGGGTTCTGGAAGGGAGTGGGCTGGACACTGGGCTGTGGAGTCCTCTTGCAGTGGGAGGAGTGCCATGATGATGTCGGGGAGTCTGGCACTGTTGTTTGGGGGGATCCTAAGCAAACATTGAGACAGGAAGGCGGTAAGTTGGGGGTTCACTGTACTTACTGAGTGAGTGGGCTCTGCCCCACCTGGCTGGTGCCATCATGGGGAGTTTCTAGTGTTGGAGGTCTGCTAGCATGACAGGGGCCATGGTGGAGAGTTTGTATTTTTCTGGCTGGTACATGCATGCAGAGATAGACTTGAAATGAGCTGGGAGACACAGAAGTTAGTGATGTCGACCAGAACTTCCTGTGAGCTATCACTGGCCTGCATGGTAGCCACACGGGCCGAGGGCAGGTGGCCTTGTGAGGAAGGGCTGCATGTTTAAGTTGCATTTTGCTGAGCATTGACAGGAAGTCACAGACAGCTAGTGACCTCGGTACTGGGCGGAGCACAGCCAGCTGTATTTCCCATGGCCCCAGACACCTTGGAGGTGACATAGTCATACCTACATAGTGAAGGGTGTGGAGGAGTGTAATCAGAGGACATGTGTCAAGCCAGGCATGGTAGTGCACATTTATAATACTAACTACTTGGGAAGCAGGAAGTTCAAAACTTTAAGGCCAGCCCCTGGGCAAAGTTAATAAAATCTTGCCACAAAAAAGTGGGGAAGCTGGTGGCTAGAGCCAGCAGTAGAGCCATTTTCTAGCATATGCCGAGGTCATAGGTTTTATCAAACCAGTAGGGCAAAGTAAGCTTAATACTTGACTTTAGCCTGGCACTGGTGGTTGTAATCCTAGCTGCTCAGGAGGCTGAGATCTGAAGATTATGGTTTAAAGCCAACCCAGGCAGGAAAATCTGTGAGACTCTTATCCCTCAATTAACCACCAAAAAGCTGGAAGTAGAGGTATGGTTCAAAGTGGTAAACACTGGCCTTAAGCAAGCAAACAAACAAAAGCTCAGGGACAGTAGTTAGGCCCTAAGTTCAAGCTCCAGGACTGACACACACACACACACACACACACACACACACACTCACACACACACACACACACACTACTTTGATCTAAAAACAGAGAAGGAAGCCCACTGGAGACACACCTTTGCTGTATTTGTGCTGAACACTGCATGTGTATTTCCTCCTCCACCCGCCCCCCCCACACCATGACCCCATCAGACAGGGGCCTGCCATTACCTCCATAACAGATAAGGGAACCGAGGCACCCAAGGTGAAAGGCATAGGCCCAAGGTCACAGACAGGAAGTAGCTAGCTGGGACCCCAGGTGGGCGGCGGTAATGTGGGGCCTTCCCTCTGCGCTCCTGTGGGTGCCGTGTGCAGGGCAGGCTGGGTACTACCTGCTGAATGGCGGGCGGAGGGGAGCATGGATGGATGAATGAAAATCAGTGAGTGGGAGCCAGAGCACTCTGAGCTCTGAGGGGGAGGACTGCGATGGCTGCGGGGAGCACATGCACACAGAGTGTGGAAGAGGCACCCAGGAGGCGCCATGAACAGCCATGGATCCGGGGCTGGGGTGCTGGGCGCTGGGTGGGGCCTGGACTCTGTGTCTCATCATTCTCCGCCCCCCCCCATGTCTCCTGCTTCCCTGCCAGCGATTACATCATCAAGGAGAAGACCGTTTTGCTACAGAAAAAAGACAGCGAAGGGTTTGGGTTCGTGCTCCGGGGGGCCAAGGGTGAGTGCTGGCCAGAGAGGGGAGGGGCAGGGTTGAGGGCTTGGGGACCCAGGAAGCAGGGCTAGGGTGGGGAGTATGGGAAGGGGAGGTGGGGGAGACCCCAGCCCACCACTCCACTGCCCCACCCCACCCTGGGGTGCTGGTGGTCCCCCAGCGACAGTGAGGCCTCTGTGACTTGGGTCTGAGCCCCATCCCCTGCTGGGTCTCTTCACTCTCTCCCCTCCGACCCCGCCCGCCGGCAGCGCAGACCCCCATCGAGGAGTTCACCCCCACCCCGGCCTTCCCGGCGCTGCAGTACCTGGAATCGGTGGACGAGGGCGGTGTGGCATGGCGGGCTGGACTGCGGATGGGAGACTTCCTCATCGAGGTGAGTCCTGGAGACAACCCCCCCCCCAGACCTCCTCCATTATCCACACCAAGATCTGACTACCCATTCTAGATCCTTCTTGGAAACCAGCCCTATCCTGTAGGCCACCTGTGCTTTCACCAGAAATTCCATCTAAAGGCCACTCTTTCTAATGGCTGAGAGCTGCCCCAAGACATACCAGATTGGGGGGAGCCAAGGAGAGGGGGATGGGCCCCTCCCTTCCCATCCCTGGGCTCCTAGACAGAGGAATGGAGGAAAGGGTAGAAGGCAGCTTTCCCGGGGACAGGGCTCTGAAGCGGAAGCACTCCCCATTTGCAGGTGAACGGGCAGAATGTGGTGAAGGTAGGCCACCGGCAGGTGGTGAATATGATTCGCCAAGGAGGCAACACGCTCATGGTGAAGGTGGTCATGGTGACCAGGCACCCGGACATGGATGAGGCCGTCCACAAGAAAGGTGCTGCCTCCAGAGGGCCACTGTAGCACTGGGGGGCCATGGGGGGTTTCTCTCTGTCGTGCTAATGCCAGCCCCCCCACCTCATCCTTCCAGCACCCCAACAGGCCAAGCGGCTCCCGCCCCCAGCCATCTCCCTGCGGTCCAAGTCCATGACCTCAGAGCTGGAGGAAATGGGTAAGAGCTGGACCTGAACTGCCAAGCCATGGGACAGGGAGGGCGAGGGGGCGGGGCCGGACGCCCCTTGAGTTTGTCAGTGTTGTTAGTGACCAGGGGTCCTTGTCCTCACCCTGTCCCTCGTCTCCTCCCCTGGTCCTGGGGCCCGCCTGGGGCCTGCCTACCTGTATGTCGTAGGGAAGGGTGTCAGAGCTGTGACTTCCTTCTGTCCCCCGGAATTTGTTTCTCTTTTGGGGTCCCTCGGGGTCTCTGTGTGTCCTCTTGGAATCTCTCAGGGTCTCTGTCCCTCTCTCCCGGCCTGTCTCTTTTGGGGTTTTGTGGGGTCTCTCAGAGCCTCTATGTGTCCCTCTCGGGGGTCTCTTGTGTGCCCCTCTTGGGGTCTCTGTGTGTCCCTCTTGGGGTCTCTGTCCTTCTCTGGTTCTGTGTCCCTCTCGGGGTCTCTCTGTCCCTCTCCACCGATCGTGCTTTCTTTCCTTCTGACCCCCTCCACCACCCATCCCCATTCTCTAGCTCTTTCCACTGGTTCCCAGTAACAGACAGGGCCCAATGAACCTAGGGGGTCCCATTGCCCCTGACAAGGAGCTAGCCGGGCATGTGACCGCCCTGACCCTGAGGGCGCCCTAAGGGAGGAGGGCATCCAAGAGAAGGGGGCCCCTGGCGTCCCCCTGACCTCCTAACTCTTGGCTCCTCTACTGCCTCCCCCCCGGGCTAGTCTCCCCCTGGAAGAAGAAGAGTGGTGAGTGGGCACAGGACTGGCGGGAGGGCCCCTGCGGACTCGCCCCGCCCTGACCCCTGGCCCCCTCACTGCCCCACTGCGCCTGCGCACACCCGCGGGCCACGCCCACCGGCCTGCAGGGCAGCCACGCCCACCCCGTCCCGCTCGCCTGCAGGGGGCGCTCGCGCGCGCTTCATCCCCACCCTTTGCCCACAGAATATGAGCAGCAGCCCCCGCCGGTGCCCAGCATGGAGAAGAAGCGCACGGTGTATCAGATGGCTCTCAGTAAGATACCCAGCCCCGATCCCGGGCTGCCCCGGTCCCCACCCAGCCCCCACCCTGTCTGGGCCACCATCAGTGCCCAGAACCTTGGGGCCCAGTCGGTGCTCCAGCCCTGTCCTCCACCCTCCTGCCGGCCCCCTCCTCCCTCCTTGCGGGACCTCGCCTCTGCCTGCACCCTTTCCCAAAGCTGGGTCCCCCGGACTGTCGGGCCAGGCGGTACCTCCAGGGGTGGACCCTTTCCATCTCTGGTCCGAGTGCGCTCTCTGCCTCCCTCCTGGCCGTGGGGGCGAGTGTGAAGCAAGCTTTCCTCCCCGGACCCCGCAGACAAACTGGACGAAATCCTGGCAGCAGCTCAGCAGACAATCAGCGCAAGCGAGAGCCCTGCACCCGGGGGCCTGGCGTCCCTGGGCAAGCACCGGCCCAAAGGCTTTTTCGCCACCGAGGTAGGCAGCCTGGCTCGGGCACACCTGTCCTCTTCCCCCGCCCTTCTTTAGGCTCCTCCTGGGGCCACATCCTGGTTCCTCTGCTTCCCCCACACTGGGCACCTTCTTTCACACTGCCCGTCGTTGGTGTTCTACCTCCCTCCATACCCCTCCTTTTATTTTTATTCATCCCTCCTCCCCTTGTTTCTCTTGTCCCACCTCTTTCTGACCCAACTCAGGAGCGTTAGGGAAGCAAAAAGATGGCCAACCGCAGCATGGCCATCGCCATGGTGACAGGTGCTCAACATACAGTAGTTTTAACATACTCATATTAAGCTGGGTACAGTAGCATATATCTATAGTCTGAGGCTAAGGCAATAAGGTTGCTTGAGAACAGCCTGGAAAACTTTGTCTGTAAAGAAACAAAGAAAAAGATTCTTTTTCTCTGTGCTTTTTTTTTTGCCAATCCTTCCACACAAGAAGAAACTAACCTCTGGTGAATGCAAATCATTTCTAGAAACTGTGACTTTTTCCTTCCTTCCTTCCTTCCTTTCTTTTTTTTTTTTTTTTTTGGCCAGTCATGGGGCTTGAACTTTGCCTGAGTGCTGTTCCTGAGCTTTTTTTGCTGAAGGCCAATGCTCTACCAGTTTGAGCCACAGCTCCACTTCTGGTTTTCTGGTGGTTAACTGGAGATGAGTCTCATGGCCCTCCCTGCCTGGGCTGGCTTTGAACTATGATCCTCAGGTCTCAGCCCCCTAAGTAGCTAGGATTACAGGGGTGAGGCCACCAGTGCCCATCTGAAGCTGTAATTTGTTTTTTGTCAGTCGTGGGGCTTGAACTCGGGGCCTGGGCGCAGTCCCTGAGCTCTTCAGCTCAAGGCAAGCATTCTACCACTTAAGCAACAGCTCCACTTCTGGTTTTCTGGTGGTTAACTGGAGATAAGGGTCTCATAGCCTTCTTTCCAGGGCTGGCTTTGAACTGTGATCCTCAGATCTCAGCTTCTTGAGCAGGTAGGATTACAGGCATGAGCCACCAGTGCCAGTTGAAGCTGTGGTTTTAAATGGATTATCTCAATCATTTCTGAGAATCATACTTGCAATAAGCAATTATTAGCCCATTTACAGATAGAAAAACTGAGACTCAGCAAAGGATATAGGATTTCATTTCAAGGAACCTGGATGCTGTCCCTGAGGTTCTTTTGCTCAAGGCTAGTGCTCTATAACTTGAGCCACAGTGCAGCTTTCACCTTTTTCTGTTTATGTGGTACTGAGAAATCAAACCCAAGGCTTTATGCATGCTAGGCAAGCACACTACCACCAAGCCACATTTCCAGCCCAGCTCCAGCTTTTTAAATATTGTGTATTAATTGTACAAAGGAGTTTAATTGTGATTGTGATAGTTACATATTTCCATATTACTCTGATCAAATTCACCCCTCTACTGGAGCTTGAATTTAAGAGCCTGGGTGTAGTGCCTTAACTTTTTTTTTTTTTGGTCAGTCATGGGGCTTGAACTTAGGGCCTGGTGCTGTCCCTGAGCTCTTCAGCTCAAAGCAAGCACTCTACCACTTGAGCCACAGTGCCACTGCAGTTTTCTGGTGGTTAACTGGATATAAGATTCTCACGAGCTTTCCTGCCTCAGCTGGTTTGAACCGAAGTCCTCAGATCTCAGCCTTCTGAGTGGATAGGACTACAGGCGTAATCAACCAGTCCCTGGCTCCCTTAGCTTTTTTGCTCAAGGCTGGTGCTCTACCCCTTGAGCCACAGCTTTGCTTCTGGCTTTTTGGTAGTTAATTGGAGATAAGAGTCTGTGAGACTTTCCAGGCTGTCTTTGAACCTCAGGCTCAGGCTCCTGAGCACCTAGGATTATAGGTATGAGCTGCTGCCCAGCTACCCGCTCGTTCCCTTTTATAACTGTGTTAATGGCTTAGAATTCCACTTTCACACACCCATGTAAAATAGTCCAATCATATTTGCTCCTTCTTCTTTTGCTTTTCCTCTTCTTCATGAATGTCACCCTCAAGGGAGCCCTGGCTCTTCTGATGGAACCCTGGTGCCTCCCACTAGATGAAGCCACGGACACCCAAACATCCCTGATTCATAAAGAACATGTAACCAAAAGGGCTGGAGGTCAAGTGGTAGAGTGCTTGTCCAGCATGCCCAAGGCCCTGGGTTTAATCAATAGCACCAGGAGGGAGGGAGAGAGAGATGCTTATAAATGCACAAATGTTATATGTAAGTTAATAAAAGAAGCCAGTTAAACCAAAATAGAGTTATCAAAATATTTTTTAAAGCCCAATTTGTGATATGGTAATATGGTTATCTTCGTCAACACATTCCATTGTGAGACTGGCGGTAGATCTTAAGTACTCTAATTTCACAATCACAAGCAGCATAAACACTGTTTGGAGGAATCCGCACGGCTGGGTAGGGTGTGGAAGTGTCTGTGACTTCTTCTGGGAAGGCAGACACCAGTATTGCTGAGACTGGCAGCATTTGTTGCCTGCTGCCTTAATTGAAGAAGAGCAGAGTTTTCACTGCAGAATGGGACAGCAAAGAGAAATGACATATTCCTGCCCAAGTGCAGAGGCCCCAAGAAGGCTGCTTCACAAGTCACTTCCCCCACTAGCTGTAGAAGACCTTATGCTGCTACAAGAATCAAGAGCATGGGGCTGGGAAGGTGGCTCAGTGGTAGAGCGCTTGCCTTGCATGCTCAAGGCCCTGGGTTCGATTCCTCAGCATCACATAAGCAAAAAGAAAAAAGCCAGAAGTGGCGCTGTGGCTCAAGTGGTAGAGTGCTAGCCTTGAGCTGAAGAGCTGAGGGACAGTGCCCAGGCCCAGAGTTCAGGCCCCACAACCGGGACCCAAAAAAAAAAAAAAAAAGAATCAAGAGCAGTTAACACGCTAGGTGTAGCAAGCAGGACATGCCTGTAATCCCAGCTACTTGCAAAGCAGAGGTAAGAGAATCTCAAGCTCAAAGCTAACCCAGGCAAAGTTGGCAAGAAAGACCCTGTCTCCAAACAAACTGGAAAGGCTGGACGTGTGGCTTAAGTGCTAGAACATTTACCTAGTATGTGTGAGGCCTTGAGTTCAATTCCCCAGTGACATGCCCTTTCCTCACCCCACCCAAAAAAAGGGGAAAGAATTGTGTACCAGGAATCTTGGAATTTCTCAGTTGAGAGGAGGGTTTATGTGTTTTGTGCCAGTATCAGGGCTTGAACCCAAGGTCTTGTGTTCTCCCTTAGCTCAAAGCTGGCACTCTACCACTTTGAGCCATAGCTCCACTTCTAGTTTCTTTCTTTCTTTCTTTCTTTTTTTTGGGGGGGTCCGGTCATGGGGCCTGAAATCTGGGCCTGGGCACTGTCCCTCAGCTCTTCAGCTCAAGGCTAGCACTCTACCACTTGACCCACAGCGCCACTTCCGGCTTTTTTCTTTTTGCTTATGTGGTGCTGGGGAATCGAACCCAGGGTCTCATGCATGCAAGGCAAGCGCTCTACCACTGAGCCACCTTCCTAGCCCCCCAGTTTCTTTCTTGCTGGTTAGTTGGAGTTAAGAATATTATAAACTTTACTGCCTGGGCAGGCTTTGAACCTTGATCCTCAGCTGTCAGCTTCTGGAGCAGCTAGAATTACGGCATGAGCCACCAGCACCTGGCTTTTTGTTGTTGTTCCTGTTCCTCCTTGGGGCGTTTATTTCCTATCCCATCTTTTCTTCCATTCTGATATCGTTTTTCTCCCTCCCCTCTTCCCCCAATCTTTCTCCTACTCTCTAGATTCACATTTCTTTGCCAATCTGTCTGGGTCTGTGTGTCTCTCCCTCTCTGCTCTGTCCTGCTGTCACCCAGGAGGAATTTCCTAGCCCCTGATCAGGCTGTGTCCACACAAGAGGGCCCAGTTCGAGACCCTAAAAGTGCCGGGATCCTGCCCGGCAACTGGTGACGTCACTCACATGGCGCAATCTGATTGGCCTCCCCTCTGCGCAGGGGGCGGACGTTCTGGGTTTGTAGGTGGAGCTCAGCCTGTCCATCTGGGGTCCAGGGCCTTCTTGTACAGTGTTCTGGTTCCTCTGTCACTTTCAGTATTACTGTGTCAAGCTCTCCCATTTTTTTCCCCTGCCCTCTTCCACCTCAAAGTATGTACACGTGTGAGTGTCGGTCCTAAGGCTTGAACTCAAGGCCTGGGTCCTGTCCCTGAGCTTTTCTCCTTAATATTGGCACTGTACCATTTGAGTCACAGCTCTGCTTGTTTTTTTTTTTTTTTTTTATCGGTCATGGGGCTTGAACTCTGGGCCTGGGCGCTGTCCTTCAGCTCTTCAGCTCAAGGTGAGCCCTCTACCACTTGAGCCACAGCGCCACTTCTGGTTTTCTGGTGGTTTATTGGAGATAAAGAGTCTCACAGACTTTCTTGCCTGGGCTGGTTTTAAACCACAATCCTCAGATCTCAGCCTCTTGAGTAGCTAAGATTACAGGTGTGAGCCACCGGCGCCCGGCTGCTTCTGGTTTTTTGATGGTTACTTGGAAATAGGAGTCTTTCCTGGACTTTCCAGGCTGGCTTTGAACCTTAGATTTCAGCCTCCTGATTGCCTAGGATTACAGGTGTGAGTCACAAAAGCCAGGTGCTAAGAGGGTAAACTTAAGGATGGAGGCAGGGTGGGTCTGTGGGTAGAGGTCAGCCAGAAGGATGCCTACTAGAATCCACCTGCTGGAATGAGCCTGCAGCTGGAGTGTGAGTGAGCTGTACCCTGGAGTTCTGCATCTGTGAAGCCTGCTTCTCCACTCTATCCTAGGCTGGCCTCAAAATTCATAATCTTCTGGTCTCTGCCTCTTGAGTGCTGAAATTACACACAACTGACCTTAGTTTTTTTTAAATAATTTTTTATTGATTTAAGTGATTACATAAATTTCACAAAGTTCACAGAATTATGAGATAGTGATACTTAAAGTCGCAAACATCGTTTAATCTTCACAGGGCAAATCGTCATTATCATGGTCTATAATGTTTGTGAATTCTATGAGCTTTGACAATACAACTATTTCTTCCACCTCGAGTGGAACAGCTTAGTATAAGCGTTAGCTCTTTCCTTCTCTAACTTTCAGTTTTTAAGGAGGGCAGTAGCACACCTTAAATTTTTTTTGAAAGATCCTCTAACTTGTGTAGAAAGCAGAGTAGCAAGAGGCTACTGTAGCCATCCAGGCAAACGCTGAGTGGCGGGATGTGGGTCCCGGCAGCAATTGTAGTAAGTGGCCAGCTCAGAGGTACAGCAGGCAGAACCAAACTTTTCCTTTCCCTCCTCCCCACTGCCCACACTTAGAACACTTGACCCTTCCCTTCCGCCTTCTTCATGATGCTCCTATTCCCTGCAGAGGCTCAGAGAAAGCATGGTGAGCTGTGGAGAAGCCCCAAGACCTTACACCATCACTGATTTTTCTCTGTCATCTTTTCTCTCTACCTGCCACCCTAAAGTCAAGCTTTGATCCTCATCACCGCTCCCAGCCAAGTTACGAACGCCCTTCTTTCCTGCCTCCTGGACCAGGGCTGATGCTTCGGCAGAAATCTATCGGTATGTATCTCAAAGAGGGCAGCGTAAAGAATGAAGGACCCGGGGTGACCATTTGTGGGGGAAACAGGAACAGGGGGGCATGTATTCTGCTCACATGTGAGACCACAGCTCACTCAGGTCAGGCTCTGTCTGAGAAATGTGTGTATGTTTCATTCCCTTCCTTGCTGTGTGACTCGGGGCAGGTGTCTCTACTTCTCTGAGCATTGAGTTCTGCATCTAGGAAATGAGGACCTATTGCACACCTGGCCTCGACAGTATGGGAGAGAATGGGGTCCCAGACATAAAGGTGGGACTGGACAATAGAGGGGTAGTAAATGAAGCTAATCAGGGCTAGGCATGGTGGCCCATGTCTGTAATTCCAGCTATCCAGGAGGTGGTGTTAAGAGGATACTGGTCCGAGGTCAGTCCAGGCAAAAACGGAAGACCAGAACAGGAAATGGAGCTGTGGCTCAAGTGGTAGAGCACTAGCCTTGAGCACAAAAGCCTCAGGGACAGCGCCCAGGCCCTGAATTCAAGCCCAGGACAAGAGGGCTGGAAGTGTCGCTCAAGTAGTGGAGCCTATGCTTGGCCCACTGCGGGACCCGCGTTCAAACCCCTGCTGTGGGGATCACCTTGTCCCACCTGCCTTGGCCGTCCAGGGTCTCCCCGGCACACGCAGCCCCCTTGCAGAGTTCAGAGCGCGCCCCTTCGTGGCCGGAGGAGGGAACGCAGCCGTGCGGCTCCCTCCGCGGGCTGCGCTTGCGCAGTGTACAGCCCCAGCTCCCGCCGTCCACTGGGCAGCTGCTGCCGGCGCCCGCCCGGAGCCTTCTCCTGAGTGGTGGCGGTGCCTGCGGCCTTGGGGAGCATCCCAGGACCCCCCCCCGACCCCTCTGTCTCCCCAGGGGCCGCGGAGGATGACCGACCCTATCTGGCGCCGCCAGCCATGAAGTTCAGCCGCAGCCTGTCGGTGCCCGGCTCGGAGGACATCCCCCCGCCGCCCACCACGTCCCCACCCGAGCCCCCCTACAGCACCCCGCCGGCCCCCTCCTCCTCCGGCCGCCTCACTCCCTCCCCGCGGGGAGCGCCCTTCAACCCGGGCTCCGGGGGTCCCCTCCCAGCCTCCTCCCCCTCGTCCTTCGACGGGCCCTCGCCCCCCGATGGCCGCATCGGGGGCCGCGAGAAGAGCCTGTTCCACGGCGGGCCCC